TTTAGGGTACTCAGTCTGATCTGGACCTACCCGCCTATCGTGGATCAACCATAGACCATATGTGATTATCATTTGTTTACTTATTTTCATTTTTACCACCTTGCAGTTACCAAAAAAAAAAAAAGCCCATTTTTCTCTTACCTACGTTTCCTCTTTTAGCAGTTCTAAACCACTGCAGTCTTGATACAAGCCATTAAAGATTTATGAATTGAATTTAATTAATCCTGCTGGAATGGAGTACTGTTAAAACTCTGTTCATAGCTTTTCAATTGCTCTTATCAAACCTTCAAGGTTTAAAGAGCTTTGAGTTACTGATAGCTTAATAGAAGACCAAAAATAAACTACCTCCACCTCTTCAGGGGATACAAGCTCATTGTAATACCTTCTACAGTCACTTCTGCCACCATCTTATGAGTGAAATTCCTTCAAAAATGTAAGATAATGTTGTTAATATCTATAATTTTTCTCACTGAAAAATATGCATACAATACCCGAACAATTTGTGATGTAGAAAATCTTTTGGGTCCTAATTTTAGCAATCATTCAGATACTGGATTTAAAAATAAGTATGGGATGAATTCATAATAATCAGTTCTGGCCACAGTATGGTACGTATTTTTATAGAGCATCTTCAAATTTAACTCTAAAAAATGGTTGTGCTACAATTCTGAGTGACAAGGGAAATGTCTAGTAATCATTCCTTTCCAAATAGCTCGGATCAGTATGTTTAACTATAAGCGATTTGCAAATCTTTCAACCATTTTTCCTAAAAACCAATAAGTACACATCTACTGAAGAGTTAGTTTTGGGTTCTACACTGACCAAGCTCTCATCCCATTAGTGAACAAGTGTTCAGATAAATGTCAAGGATTTTTGATCATCAGGTAGCAATGTTAACTCTACCATATGGAGATTTATCCATAACACTGTAGCTTTTAATTTACCAATAAATATCCACATGCTCACACTTTTTAAATGAGTGTCTAAAGCAGTAGAACTCTTAAAATGTTAATGAACTGGGCCAGCAGATTTAGTGCAGTGGCACCGTACCTGCCTCACAAGCACAAGGTCCTGAGTTTGGTCCCCAGTACCGCACAAAAAAAAGTCCAAAATGTAATTGATCTGAAATAAGCTACCACTAAGCTAACTGGTTCAAAATGATTTTACTGATTGATGTTTGATGCAGAAGAAAAACCACACATACCAAGAAATTTTTAAGCTAACAGTAAGGTTCAAAATATTATTAAAGTTCATAAATTTTAGTTAACACATTAGCAATGAGAATAATTAATGTGAAGCTCTGTTCAATAACTACCACTATTACATTTTTATGATTTAACTGCCTAACCAACAAGAAATACTTTCAGTCTCAAAACAATATATGACCATGTTAACATCATTGAATTTAACTGCTTGTCTATGATAGAGCAGTAATGGAAGATCTGGTCAGCATTTCTGATTAATTTCAGTAGCAGAGTGTCTTCTGTTGCCAGTATTTAGAATTGCCTGGGGATATGTGTGTATGTGCAGGTGTGTGTGTGTGTGTGTGTGCTTACACATATAAATCCAGACTTCAGAGGGCCATCCTCAGTGATTCTGACTAGTAGAGGTAGGATATCCAAGGAGTCAGTACTGTTTATAATGTTCCCACATATGTCTGATGTACAGCCAAATCTGGAATCTTCTACCTAGAGCATGTAGCAATTTTTAGAAAATTTTTCTCCCTATATGATATTACTCAATGTAGATTTGAAAACTTCAAGTCCATAATGAAGAAAAAACGACATGGTATTCAGATATATAATTAAAGCGCCGGGGATTTAGCTCAGTGGTTCTCCCACCTGCCTCACAACAGCAAGGACCCAAGTTCAATCCCCAGTACCCCAAAAATAGGTATATAAAATTATAAATGTTAGGTATAAAGTATAAATACATTCATTGTGTTCAAATTAGTCTCATTATCAATTAATTACCATTGATTACCAAACTTTATGATTTTCTACATACAACCATTTTATATGGTTTTCTACATATAACAAGGAAATATTTCAAAATAATTATTTGAAAATGTAATAATTATTTGAGAATGTAATGTGTGAGATAAATTTGCTTAAACCTATTTTAAATATAAGCATGAAATATTATATATTTTATGGTGTACTTGGGTGAACATACAACTGAATAAAAGGCCAGTCTGAATGGTATTCATTATATTTATAACAAATAGAAAATATGGAATTGAGGTTAGGAAACAAAGTGAAAATAATAATTAAAAGAACAAATATAGGGTCTTGCACAGTACAATATAAGAAACATTCATGAAATAATGTAAAATTAATTCACTGACTCGAGTTTATAACATTAAAAATGGTATCCATAATATGAAAATGTGAAGGCTTTATCTCATACCATAAAACTTGGCACTAGGCCTATAAGCTTTATCGGTGGTGCGATAAATATCACAGCATGTACCATGAAGAATTGTTAAAGAATGGAATGTAACTTTTATAGCTGGCATCAAGTGGTGAACTCACAGCATAAGCCATCTTATCGTTACTTAGGAGATATCTTGATAGCCCACTTGAAGTGAGAACCTTATGTCCCAAGAGCCGAATGTGGACAGAGAAAATGAATTGCAAGATAGCTAATTGAGTCTACATAAGAAGCTAAAAAGAAATGCGGAGGAATGATTGCAATAAGAAATAAAGTAGGTTGAAGGTTGAATGAAAGTAGGTAAGCCAGGCAGGGAAAGCAGAACACAGCCCCAAACTTCAGCCTGCAGGGAAGTGGGGGCCACTGATGGGGTACCCAGGCCGCTGGTCGCTGAAGTTCAGTTTCACACGTGCGATGCTTCACCCTAAAACCCAGCTCAGGAAACTTCAGTGGCAATGAAGCCTAATTACGGTGGTATTTAACAAACAATGAAAGAAGGCTTTTTTTTTTTTTTTTTTTTTTTTTTTTT